ATATTATAATTATAATATCATATTATTAAAATAATTATAATATTATTATAATATCATTTTATATGATAAAATAATAATATTAGAGTTATTAATATAATTATGATATTATTTGTTACAATATTACTATTATATTATATTACGAGTCTGAATTTTAGATTGAAAAAATTGTAAATTTTAAATTTTATTAGGGGTATTATAGGTATTATGAAAGTTTCATTAATTGTACTATGTTGATTCTCGCACAATTTAAAAGTTAAAGTTGTCTTTAGGTTGCTTCTGATTTTGGCTGTAGATTCTTAAAAAATTCTTCAAAAAGTACTTTTGAAGAGATTTACTAAATATTAAAATCGCTTCTGTTACAAGCAGAAACTGATTTTGGGATAGAAAAGTAATACCAAACTAAACTTTAGTGATCGCGCTAACAATCACCTAAAACTCGGACAAAGCCACCATTGCCACCAACAAAGGAAATATGCATACATGTCAAGGACAATAGTCTCTTGACCAACTTGGAGGCAGCACAAGATTCCGACTCCTAGAAGAAGCCAAATGAGAAGGTGCAACGAGAAGAAACCTTAAAGAGAGATACCTGTTTGAATCAATAGATGCAATGATCTTATTAGTGCTACTTTAAAATGATAAAATGTGAATTCATGCATGGTATAGTTATCATCGCTCATTAATGGCATCCTTTCAAAGATAAAGAAATAGAAGGACTAGTTAATTTGATTTAAGAGAATTTTTCTAGTATCGATAATTTTTATTTTTCAGTCTGTTGTGTGGGAAAATGTGGATGACGCGTGGAAAAATAACAGTGCGACACGTGGCCTTGCTTTCCCTCAAAAGGCAACAACCCTCGACGATGAGAGTTCCCTTTCTTTCTGCTACAGCCTTCGACGCCGACTCTTCTTGACGACGACAGGTCGTACCGTTGACCTTACGGCAGGAATCCTTCGGGAAGAAATTAATTGCCAAGAAAGACAACTAGGCTGAGCAAATAGAGACAGCAAGAGGAATGCCCGAAGAGGGGAAAGCCTGACATCGCAAGTTGTGTGCGGAAATGGGAGATGTCTGCAGTACAGGCATTAAATGCAAACCCTTAAACCGCCCTACGGGGGACAGAAAAGGGTTACAAGTGCGCACAGAGCCGTAATGAGAGACTAATTGGTTGAGTGAACAGTACGCAAAAGTGATTAGTGGGCTACGGTCTGGGCCTAGAAAGGCAGACCACTTGAGTGCTTTTCTGCCTACACAGAAAACCCACCCGACGAAGGAAGCTCGGTTATAAAAGGAGAGAAGCCTCATACAGAAAAAGGAGGTTGATTCTTCTTGAGAGAAAAGAACGAGATAGCACTTGTGAGTGTAAATTGTAACAATCTCCAAAGGAATAGAAAACTACAGTGGATGTAGCTCTTCATTTTATAAGAGCGAACCACTATAAATCTTGTGTGTTTTCTACTTCAAGTACTTTTTCTCATATTGCTCACCACACGAAAAATACCACAAACACTTCACTGCCTATATTAAGTATACAGTTAATATTAAGCCGGTAATCCAACGGGATACCTAGCGGTGACCCAGCCTATTTCTGTTGACGAGTTTTTACCGTCAACACAGCTGTTAAATTTATATCAGAAATTATATGTTTTGCATATTTTTTTTAATCTAACATGATTTTGACCAATTTAACAGTTAAAAACCGACCCTACTAATAAGAAGGGCTGCAGGATAAAGTCTCTTTAATTTGATTCACTCCAATCATGAAAATTGACAAATGCTTTGGTTCATCACTCTTATGTCAAAACTGTAATTTTCTTCTTTGAAGGACAAATATAAAGAGCACTTACTCATTGATGAAATTACAAGAGTAATACTGTAATTGTTGACTTGTGTTTGAAAATTGGTGTGCTGGTCCACACCACACATAAAATGTGTGTTCTATAATTTGCAAAGTATTGGTCATTTCTTCACTTGCTATATGGTATTATACCATCATACAGTAACCATATGCGTATGTGAGCAAATAAATTTATATCATGTATTTATTCTATTTTCGTATATGGGCCCTATAAATGAAGATTTTTATTTTTGTTTACCATTTATTACCATAAATGCATATTATTGATGTAAGGCTTACCTATCTAATGACAAATTAAGTAATGGTAATACTTTTCTTTCCTTTTTATTTTATTTTATTCGGTTTTACAAGTTTTGAACAGAAGATGAAAGAATCTGAATGACCTTAAAATTTTTTTCTATCTAATTGATATAGCAATGGACAAAGGTGGTCCATGAATTAGGAGCTGAAACCCAAATTGATTATGGATTACACACGCATGCTTAATTAGGGCAAAAATGATACTTCTATATACGACTGTTGATGAAGTTCAGTTATATATAAATGTGACATTTTGTCCCTATAAAATGTGTAAAGGAAAAAAATTGATTATTATTGGGGAAATTCCATAACGTGTAGGAAGTATTGAAAGGAATATTTATTAAGTACCACATTTTCATCAACTTATACAATATTTACATAAAAGTTGAAAAATACCATTTATCACCACAATTTAACAATTTATCAAGATTATCATATAATATCAATAGCCAACACTTATTTATTTTGTCGAGTGGTAGTTTTACTTTACTACACACCTATACTGATATATAGCATTCCTCTATTTACATAAATAGATATTGTTGTTCCTATTTCGCTCTAATACAATTAAATATTGCCTCTTTTGGGTTTATTATTATTATTATTACTACTGTTATTATTATTATTGTTATTATTATTATTGAAATGTAAAAGAAAAATTAGTCATGACTTCACCAAACTTCACCCACCACCATAAATGATCATGCAGGGTGAGTTTCCCTCACCCAGCTGTAATCTTACCAAAATCCACACACAGCTAACTTAAAAGCCTCATAAACGCCGCTATAAAATTTGGGTCAGTCAGACAGATATGATAATTGATACACCTTCTCCCCCACTAAAGTAAACTCAGAATTTAATGTTTTCAGCTGACCAAACTGATCCCTTTCTTTCTTTCAATATTTTTTGGTTGTTGTGAAGTTATGCTCTTATTACCACTAATTAGCAGAAACTTTCACTATCACCATATAATAGCATATATATATATATATATATATATATTCCAAAAGCAGATTACAAAGTACGTGCTCTCTATTTTGCATATATACATTATTTAGTATTATTATACTAAGAAAGAAGATAAAAGGAAAAAGAAGGTCCAAGCTTTTAGCACTTTGTATATATTGTTGAAGTTGAGAATGTCAATGATTTATACCGTTAAAGTTGAGGAAGCAAGGCCGGTGACGGAGGACAAGCCGTCGGCGGGGCCAGCTTACCGCAGCATTTATGCCAAAGATGGCCTGCTGGAGTTGCCGGAAGGGTTACACTCTCCCTGGGAGTTCTTCAGGTACACATACATAACTATATATTATATATATATATATATATATAATATAAATATGTCGACATATGTATATATGTATGCACCATGGCAGAGCAGATCAGGTCGTCTCTACAGGATGCAGGGATACGTCTTAGAAATATGGACAAAATTCCAATTCTCCCTTAGGATCTAATAAAATGGACACTAAGAATTTTTTTGGTGAAAAATCTTTCAATATTTAAAATGAAAAAATCACGACAATAACTTTTATTATAATAATAATAATAATGTGTATATAACAATCTCTTAAGTTTTAACAAAAATACTCTCAATAAAATTCTCTTTTTTTGTTCTCTTTCTTTTAGCGCAGCTTTCCTAGAGAAGTCCTTTGCTTCTTGATACAAGAAGATAAAAAGAACATGGGCTTCAAATATTGTGGACTATGCCTACTGAGTTGAAAAACAACCCATCAATAAGTACTGTTATCTTACTGATCTAAGGATTGTTTCTTTTTCTTTTTTTTTTCTTTTTTTTTTTTTGCCATGAACAAAGGAAAAAGGATATGTTTGGTTCCACAAAACAGAGAAAATCACACGGAAAAAAATTTACCTATTCGAGTTTAAAATTTAAATTTTGTTATAGTAAAAAATTTTAAAAAATAATCACATCTAATATTTTTACTATAATAAAAAATTCTAATATAAAATCACATCTCAACTCAAATAAAAACTTAAATAAACGAACTAAACAGACCCGTAAAAAATAAAAAATAAAAAGTCGAGTTTACTAGTGAAAATGCAGGTCAAGAAAAAGCTAAAATAAAAAATGAATCTTTGCACTTGAGGCCTTAAAACCAGTTAGAAAAACTCTTAAAAATTGGAAAAAGAGTTAAACTTGACACCATTGTAGCATTTTAGAAGATTGCAATATTGGAAATAATGGCCTTGTATTGTTCAGAATTTGACCTGAAAGTTTGTATTTACTCGTAGTGGCTCTGTTAAGAAAAACCCTGATAGTCCAATGCTGGGACGACGCCAGACCACCGATTCAAAGGTAATATTTTGCTTATTGTAGAGTATAATTTTTTAGTAAAAAAAAGGAAAGGAAAACCCAGAAAAACCCATCAGCTTAAATTTACAATACTTTTGCCTGGTTAAATTGAAATGTCAGGTGGGTCCCTACGTGTGGCTTACGTATCAGGAGGTTTATGATTCAGCCATTCGCATTGGTTCTGCAATTAGGAGCCTCAATGTGAATCCTGTGAGTTTGTGCTGATCTTAGCAAAAACGTTTTATTTTTATTTATTAATATTATTTTCTTAGAATTGTGCAGTAGGGTATGAACAACTACACAATTTTTATCGTCGTCATCAGATTATATCATGTTAAGAAAAGCAAGTTAATTTAATGGAACTTAAAGATCTGACATATGAAAATTGTATTGGGGGTATTTTTAATGTCCTACAAAAGAATTCTCTCTTTTTTCCTCTAACTTATTCGCTTAAAAGTTTGTAGGGAGATCGTTGCGGTATATACGGATCAAACTGTCCACAGTGGATCATAGCAATGCAGGTCTGTTGTATTGCTGTGCCTAATTTACTATTTGATAAGATTTTGGAGTGAGATGTGAAGCTTAGGCTTATTGGAGTTGAGCTATGAAAACACTTGTTAAAGTGGCATTTGATCATTTAAGCCATTAGTAATAACATAACTAGCCAAATTGATAGTTTCTGATACTATATAATTGATACTGTCACATATTTTATGATATGTTCTTTTGATGCTTTGCAGGCCTGTTACAGCCATGCCATAACATATGTTCCACTATATGACACGCTAGGTTAAATTTTGTCCCTTTTTTTTTAAAATATCAGCAATGAATTTCAAGAATTCTTTCTAATTTTCATGTTAATCTTCTAAGGAAAATTGAATAGTGCAGTACCTGATAGGAAGCATCCCTCTAATTACATGTGACAGGTCCTGATGCAGTTGAGTTTATCATTAATCACGCCGAAGTTTCCATAGCATTTGTTCAAGAGAACAAAATCCCTTCTGTAAGTCCTTACTCTTAACAAATCAGTCTAGGTAATCTATAATTCATAATTCTAAACTGGCTAAGATTAATTATCCAATAAATCATTGAACTTCAATGAAAAGAAAAAGAAAGAAACTACAGCTTACTTGCCTTGAATCATTCTAATGCGGTAATTTTTGTGCAGATTATATCATGTCTTCCAAACTGTACTGCAAATTTAAAAAGTAGGCGAAAGTCATTTTCTTAGATTCTTCATTCGGTATCCGAGGCTGATAACTAAACTACGCGCCTTTGGTATGCAGCAATCGTCAGCTTTGCCAATGTTTCGAGCGCACAAAAGAAGGAAGCTGAAGAACTAGGGGTGTCATGCTTTTCTTGGGAGGAATTCTCTCAGTTGGTAAGACTTTTAAAGCTGATTTGTTTTGCTGGATATTTGAGTTTTTAATCAGTTGTATTACACCATAACAATAACTTTTCTCCAATTTTACTTAGGGGAATTCGAGTTATGAACTGCCTGCAAAACAGAGGACTGATATATGCACACTGATGTATACAAGTGGAACTACTGGAGAACCAAAAGGTGTCATTCTTACTAATGAGGCAATCATGGCTGAGGTTTTGTCAACGGAACAGATGCTTGAGTTGACAGACAAAGCGGTAGAAGGACATTACAGAAAATAAGTTTTGATCTTTACAAGGTTTACTTTATTTATTTATTTTGACATGAAACATTTTCCAATTACAGTTTACAAAAGAAGATTCATACTTTTCATACCTTCCTTTGGCCCATGTATATGATCAAGTAATGGAGAACTACTGCATCTACAAGGGCAGCTCAATAGGCTTTTGGAGAGGAGTAAGAACTAAGATTTATTTTCTTCGAATAAGTAATTATTTATTTTATTCTTTAGTATTACATGGTTACTGAAACTTGGCTTTTCTTGCTTTGAACTGACAGGATATTAGGTTTTTGATGGATGACATTCAAGAACTGAAGCCGACTATATTTTGTGGAGTTCCTAGAGTTTACGACCGAATATACTCTGGTAAATATCGAGGTTCACATGATTAATTGATTACGAAGTTTGTAATTGTTACTCTAAACATTGGGTTTAAAATTTGTGTCCTGAAGGTATAGCTAGTAAAATTTCAGCTGGAGGAACACTGAAGAAGATGCTATTCCAATATGCATATAACTAGTATGATAAACGGAAAACATCATTTTTTTTTTCTTTTCTTTCCTGTATCTGCACAACTGAGAGAGATTATCTAATGGCAGTAAATTGGCAAATCTGGAAAAGGGCCTCCCACAAGACAAGGCAGCACCTCTCATGGACAAGCTTGTCTTTGAGAAGGTCAGACGTTAGTTCTTACTTCTCCAAGTTAATAGTAGTATGTGCATTGTATTTACTTCTTCTGAATGTTTTTGTATTTGTAGATAAAACTAGCATTAGGAGGACGAGTTCGCTTCCTGGCGTCAGGTGCTGCGCCTTTGCCTAGGCATGTGGAGAAATTCTTGAGGATCACAAGCTGTGCTACTTTGTCACAAGGATATGGTATGGTAAATTTCATCTACTAGAACATGGGAGGTATTTGGAAAATAACTTTTATGTCATGGCTTTAGAGTTATATTGTCTTAAATCTTAACGACAGAAATCAGAAATTTTCCTTTGAGTCACTTCAAAGACCAATTTAGTTTTGTGATTTCAACAATATTAATCTGTAATAAAGCTTGCAGATTGTACCTCACTTTGATTTCCTTTTGTGATGCTTCTGGACTCTTGTACTCTTTTCTCATATAATAGGCCTTACTGAAAGCTGCGGCGGGTGTCTTACATCTATATCCAATGTTTTCCCTATGATTGGAACTGTTGGAGTCCCCATCACAACGATTGAAGCCAGACTTGAGTCGGTGCCGGAGATGGGATATGATGCACTTTCCGACATGCCACGTGGAGAGATTTGCCTGAGAGGAACAAACTTGTTTTCTGGCTACCATAAGAGAGAAGATCTAACTAAAGAGGTCCTTGTTGATGGATGGTTTCATACAGGTAACACATTACATCACCAAGGCAAGAGAATAATCATGCAGGCCACAGGATGATTGCTCTATATATGGCTTTTTTGGGGGTATCTTATTTTTCTTAACAACTCTGGAAAAGAAAACATAGGAAGATATTGTGATCAAAATCCATCACTGAGAAAGGAAAACATATTGAACTGGCAATCAGTAAATCTATCTGACTTAATGCAGTAACTAGGAAGAAAAGAATGCTTGCTTGTTTATTAAGTAATTCCATGCCGAAGTCATGAAAATCTGCAACCAGCAAACATGTGAATGCTTGCTTGACGCTCAATCTTTGTCTTAGGCTACGTTTTGTAGGAAGAAAAGAAAGACATATGACCTAGGTGAGGAAAATAAAGAAGAGCGGAATGACCTTTCTCTTGTCGTATTTGGAGAGATCAAAACTGGAGTTTGAAATGCCCCAACTAATCCATTCCCTCATCATCTTTTCTCTCCTACCAAACAACCATCGGTTCCAAAATCTTTCCACTAATCTCCTCACTCCTCTCCCTTCCACTTTTCTCTCCTATCAAACAAGCTCTAAAGAGGGAAGAATTGTTTAGTTACATGATTTTGGGAGCATTGCAGGTGACATTGGAGAATGGCAACCAAATGGAGCAATGAAAATCATAGACAGGAAAAAGAATATCTTTAAGCTGTCCCAAGGGGAATACGTTGCTGTGGAGAACATTGAAAGCAAGTACTTGCAATGCCCTCTCATAACTTCGGTATGTTTTTAGTCACCTTTAGTTGCCGTAAAAAACAAGTATCTATCAATAGACCTTTATGTTCATTTTACTTTCTTGTGTTTTGCATAGATATGGGTCTACGGAAACAGCTTCGAGTCGTTTCTTGTGGCTGTAGTTGTCCCCGAGAGAAAGGCGCTGGAGGATTGGGCGGCAAATCATAATCTGACCGATGATTTCAAATCGCTGTGTGAAAACCCAAAGGCGAGGAAATACATTATGGATGAGCTCAATAGCACTGGTCAGAAACATCAAGTATGTGTACAACTTGTCTCATTTCCATGTTGATAACTGCTCGTTGAGCCATATTTTTTTATCTGACTTAAAAGAGACTAATCCTGCAGCTTCGAGGTTTTGAGATGCTAAAAGCTGTTTATTTGGAGCCAAATCCATTTGATATGGACAGAGATCTTACAACTCCAACTTTTAAACTGAAGAGACCCCAATTGCTTAAATATTACAAGGTATATGACTTGTTTTGTTTATCTCTTCACGTCAACTGCTTATTTCGCTTTCATCATTCGCTGAAAATTTCCATAAATTTGGTCTGCAGGACCATATTGATAAACTGTACAACGAAGCAAAGGAAACAAGAGTATGAGAGTAGTAGCAATACCAATCTCTACCATTTCCCAAGTATATGACTTCTTATGTGGTTTGTCTGAGCATTTGTTGACTCAGAATTGGCTATATATTTTTCAAGGGGTGAATTACAATAAAAACTTGTGTTTGTCTATAAATAAGGATCATTTGACAACTATTACTAGAGAAGTTTCCATAAACAAGTCATCTGTTCTTGATTGGAAGTGCGTTAAAATGCAATTAGAAAATGAGGACTTTTGAATTGGTACCCCTTCCATTCCATAGACGATTCTAGTACTCTTTTATTCAATTTAAAAAATGACGCCTTCCTAAGGTACTTGTATTTGCTGCTCATATCAAACATTAAACGTACAGTTGCTTTTACAATCCAAATCAATCCTCTGTTTTTTTTTTTTTACTGTTTGACAACAACTTCATTATTATTGGAAAGCAATATTGTACTTTTCTAAGACAAAGAACACAGTCCCCCACACATTATTTTGATTGTCACATATGTACAAATTCTGTACGATGTAAACAAATAAATGACACAAATACAATCCATAGAATCTGCAAACCTTTGTAAGACTACCTGAAAATCTGATCTACAGAATGTGAAGCACCAAAGCCCAAACAGGATAGACAAAGAGAATGACAATGCCGATTGTGTTCGACACGCCGTGGGCTTTTGTGAAAGCGTTTCTGAAGCCACCAGATGCTCTTATGTGCTCTTGCAACAAGTAACAAGCAATTGCGAGGCAAATGATCAGACCGACCCAGCTGTTCCTTAGGGTACTTGCAAAGAAGCTAGGAGCCACTACTATGAGAAGAATCAAAGCGGCTGGCAATTCCAGCCAATCTGCAGAATCATATCATAAAGCAATGAACACAGCCAAATTCACAAATCAAATTATTATCTCGCTTAAAAGTCTGCACTTGTCACTTCTAGTAAATTGTGTTTTATTCTGCAACACTAGGCATCATATAGTACTTTAAAAGAGGTAACCATCATGCTGGTATTAAAGAGTAAAATAAACCCGAGTCCCACATTATTGAAGTATAGTAGTAAGCACCTACTTGTAAGAATATTCGATCGATCCACTTAATCTGTTGACCTTTTAAAATGAAAGTTCAAGTTCTTAGAAAGTCCAATTTTACGGTGGCAGGTGGAGTGGTTAGGGTGTTCCTCTTCTCCCTTAGAGAGCTCAAGTAAAAACACGTATGAGTGAGTGGTTCACTTCCAATGTGAGATTATGTCCCTTTTTTCACTGTAAATTTTCACTACATGAGGGAGAATATAGGATAATCTTACATTTCGTAAATCTCTTTTATAGTGAAAAAGGGCAAACTAATACAAGGTCAAACTGTGGTTGGCGAGAAAATTGTACAGAATAATTAAACTTCACACAACTCAACCTGAGCTATACACATGCAGCACCACCGAGTGTGCGAGGATTTTAGTGGAACACCATTCTCTTCTTCTCAGCAAGCAAAAGAAAAAGAAAAAAGAAACAAGAAAAACCGAGACTATATACAGTGCAATACAATTTACCATGAAAGGAGTAATACCAGACCAAATCACTGGTAAATTTTCTGCTAAATTCCGAGTCATGTTCAGTTAATACAAGTAAAATTTAAAAAGAAGTTGAGAAATTATACTTGGGAAACGATGTGGGAAGAAAAGTCGCAGGACAACAGCAATGATAGCAATCCATTTCCCAACTTCTCCCCTAGATAATAAAATGCATAACAATTAGTACTTATCCAAAAGATTTAAGAAAAACAAAATAAGATAATATAATAGACACTCACCTGAAGAAGCTGAAAAGGAGTGGAGGAAGACTGAAGAAAATGTATGGGATTAACAGCGACGTAAGAATGTTTGTTTTCCAGTTTGTTCGGTCCAAGATCAACAAATAGCTAGAGTAGGCAAATTCAAGGCATTAATTTGGAGTGTAAAGATTCAAGGTAGACCAAATAGCAGAAGCAAATTAAGGTGACTTTAAATTACAGGCACTCAAAAATACTCCAATTAGTGCGCTATAGATTGTTAGAATATGTAATTTATTAAAACTTATTTTAACTTTTCACTCGTATTTTCAAACGAGTTGAAAAGTGTGAGGCGTGTGATTTTTTAATAATTTGTGAAATTCTGCGGCGGCTGAAAATAGACGTAATTGTATAAACCACTTTTAAGTCTTGTGTTCTTACTGTCGGTAATAAATGATGATCTATCTCTTAATGACATATACTTTTAGAGCGTGTGATAATTAACATGATTATAAAGAAAAGACAAACTTTCGTATGTACAGAAATTCTAAGATCTGCGTATAAGTTTAACAGAAAATAAATTCAATTGAGAAAACTTGACGAGAATTCGTCTCTTCCAAAAAAAAAAAAAACAAAAAAACAAAAGAAATCTTGATATGACAAAACCAAAAGAGAAATATTCATCGAGATTCATGATCAGCAAAAAAACAGAGTGAGAAAGAGAGACAAACATGGCAGCGAAGGAAGCGATCCATTCGAGGAACGAAGCGCCGAATCCGGAGCTGAAGAGCTTGAGGGAATGATTGGCGAGATTCTTGTAAGCGATCTTGAGATCATTGATGTCGTTGCTGACCAACTTTGTGGCGTCTGAATCAGTCCTCATTCTCAGGTAGCTTTTCTGTCCCACCATCATCTCTCTCTCTCTCAACTCAATCTGATGATCACTTCTCTCTCTCTCTCACTCTGTTTCTGAATTTTCTGATGCCAATTCCAAAAGAGTTTCTGAATTTTCTGATGCCAATTCCAAAAGAGTTTCTGAGATTTCACTGAAAGACAAACACAAGGCGAAGCTTACAAAGGTGTATAGATTGATTGATGGGTGATGATCGCTTTGACCGTTGAATTCTGTGAGTTGTTTTTTTTTTTACGCGTGTGTGTGTAAGCGAAATCGCGAACTTTGTGGAGGCAAATTATAGAGAGAGAGAGAGGAGATTATTACACGTAATGTAATCCTTTGCCACGTGGGAACCAATAATTGTAAGTCGGATTGGCAGGTCTTGAATTGATTTGTACTGGCTGTCTAATAGCTGTCCAATTTTTATTCATGAAGTATTCCTTGGGTTGTTCTTATTTTACCCGTCGAAGTTTAGAAAATCTCACAGTACTACTTCATTCTTTAATTTTGTTTCAGTTTGCTCCCTTTTATCTCGTTTTCCGTTAAAAACAGACGGAAAAACACCTCGTGTAATCACATTAGGGGTTAGGCGGTTCATAGAGGATAAAGTCATAAATTTGCTTCTCTTTATTGGCTTTTCATATTAGGTCTCAAACATAAGCTTTACTTTCAATTTACATTCTTAAGAAGAGAGACTAATGTGAATCAAAATTACGTCTGAGAATTATTATTTTATGTAAGGATGAGCATCGAGCGAAATGGGCTCGGGTATACTTTCACTATTACCCCCCATACTTATGCATTCGGGGTCGGAGAATCCCCATCGAGGAGGCTTTCCTTATACCTTATCCGTTTACCCAATAAAAAAAAAATTATAATATTATTAACGGTTAACAATTAAATGAATTCTATTAAATTAAATATAAAATTGATGAACATAACATTAATATCATATGAAAACAAACCAAGGTTTGAAATGAAAATCCAAGCTCTAAAAATAACTAATCAAATCTCAAACTCGAAACCATATGAAACTAAAGTCTAAAAATTCAATCAAAGACGTAAATAATAAATTAATGTCTTCAAAGTAAAAATTAAAACGATAAGAACGTTATTGTTCTAATTTATTTATCTCCTCCACGCTAACTTCATATGCCGTAGGTTAGAATTCAAATTTAGGTTAAATAAAGTTGTTATTTATAAGAAGAATTTAGGAATTATTAAAATTTTTTAAGATGGTAAAATAGAAAAATAGTCCTATAAAAAATAGTAAATAATTTAAAATTTTTAAACCCATATTTTTTAACTACTAATATAATATATAATATATATTTGTATTAACAATATTTTTAGAAATATATGTATATGTATATCGGGCCGGGGGTGGGTGTACTTCCCCTCCTTCGGCCCGCTTATGATTTGGGGATAATATAAACTCCTATATCCACTGATGAGTGAGTATTTTATTCATAAATCAAGAAGTTTTGAGCTTGAGTATTTATAAGTTCTCAAACATTTTTGTTAGTTTAACGTGTTTTTGTTTTGTTTTTGTACGTTGAAGTTAAAATGGAATAAAATGAGTGAGAATTTAACTTCAAAATATATCTCAGTATTTAGGGTATAATTTTGTCATCCAAAGTCCAAATGAGGTGATCTTGGTAGCGTTGGAAAGCTAAGAGATAGAACTACAATTTTCGTGAAGAAAGCAAACACTAATTCGGCCATATAGAAGGCAAATATCCTCCTCAAAGTTAGACACCTGCTGCAATGGGAAATCCATCCATTGCAGCGGATTTCCTTCCTGAGACCAGCCTAAAACGTGCGCTACAGCACCCATTTGCCTTCCCACTCATCCATTGCAGCATAAAAATGATCCGCTGCAGCGATCACATCAATTTTGCTATGGTTTTTCAAAAACCTTTGCGGCGCTGCAGTAAGAAATTGATCCATTACATCACCTCCACCCAAAATACTGTCAATTTGAGCTGATTTGGAAAGATGTAAAATGAGAGAAGACTCATTTTTCCAAGATGGTAGAAAATTGGGAAGGAAACACAAGATAGAGAGCCAAAATTCCTAGAGAGAGGAGCATGAGTTGAAGATTCTTGGATGATTCATGGTGGATTCTTGGAAGATTCAAGATTAAAGTTCATCTCCACAAGAGTTCCTTCTTCCTTTCTCTCACCCTAGTCTTTATTGAGATTTATATTTGTAGATATCGTGTTGAACATATTTTCATTTATGGATTTCCTTATAAGACTAGTTATGGATTTCTATATATTGAGCTAGATTTCTTATGTTAGGGGGATTGATGTAAAATTACCATGACAATGTTTTGAAAATTCTAGTGCTTGTTAATTAAATTCATTTCTAATCATTTGTGTTTCTCTATGCTTATTGTCTAATTTGATTATTCATTGAATTAGAGATTTAGATATGTAAATTTAATCTTGGAAAAGTCATTTGCACATATCGGGATTTGGGAAACACAACATAAGTTTATTGAGTTCGGGAGGCCAATATAATTTGAGTAATCACTAAAGGAGTTTATGCTTAACGAACGCTTAATGGATTGGGTTAATGGGGATATTACTTGATTTATTTTGTCTATTATTTTGTTTGGCACTTAGAAGAGGGAGTGAGGTTACATTAGAAAACCCGTGATTAATGATTAGAGTGAAATTTCTTAACAAGCTCTTGATTTGGATAGACAATGTCTAGTGAGGTGAAATCAAAACCCCTAGCTAGCTTTTATTATAGAGTTCCATTCGATCCACATCTTTTTACTTGCTTTATTAGTTTACTTTTATTATTTTAATTAGTTTGTTCTCTCAATTAGGTTGCCTAGATAAAGTTGAGTTACGATAATTGCGATACTTAACAGTAATCTAATACCCAATCCCTGTTGGAGATGATTATTACTCATTATTTACTATCAAAACTTAACACAATTAAATAAAGTTACTATTTATAAGAAGAATTTAAGAATCATTGATTTTTTAAGATGGTAAAATAATTCCATAAAAAATAGTAAAAAAATTTAAAAATTTTTTAAACCCATATTTTTTAACTGCTAAAATAACATATAATATATATTTGTATTAAAAATATTTTTGAAATATATGTATATATATCAGGGCGGGAGAAGGATCTCGCCCCACGCCGCCTTCCAATTCGTGGATAATATGGACTCCCATACCCGTCCCCTTCCCATTTAATTATACCCATGGCTTCCCCATTCGGGGTGGGTACCCGCAAGTAATTAATTTAGGGCTTTTTGATGAATTTCGAGTTTGTCTTTTCTTGGAGAAGAATTTCATTTCCATGTATTCTATAATAAGTAATGATTAAAGGTTCATTATTGCATATTTTAAAGTTCGAGTATTACCCTCCTAGAACATTCCACATGGACGCATTGGTGTATTTCTTTTTCTTTTTAATGGGGACTGAAATTTAGAGGGTAAAAGGGAAGAAAATTATAGTTCAGTGCAATACAAATTGTATAATGAAAATTTTTAAAATTTAAAAGATAAAATGAGAATGACTTTAAAATTTAAAAGTCTCGATGTAGGTAGTCATTTCTTTATAATTGAATTTAGGAAAAGAAAATTGTGTAGTAGGACAAGATGTTAGTTTATATGAGTAATACACTCTACAAGGCTATTTACATATATGCCTTAATCGATATTTTTGTAATATTATATAGTAATAAATATTTTTTAAATTAAGATTATAATAATAAGTATGAGTCTGAACTTTTACTCTTTAATAAATACTTTTTTATTAGTATAATTATTTTACTAAAAAATTTATGAATCAAGAATAAAAAATAAAAATATTAATAAATGTACTTTTAAAAGATACTTTACCTTTTTTTTTTTTTGTCATCCTTAGTAATGGATAATGGGCAACTGAAAGTCGGGAAGGCCCACGGGGCACGCATGTCTCATTTGATCAATGTATTGCAATCCAGCTACCACTTGAGGAAAAAAAAAAAAAAAAGCTATTCTACTGTTTTACCATGCAGAGAAAATTACAGAATTTATTTTTAAAATTGTATATATATAAATTTTTATTTATATCCTTTTATTAAAATAATTATTTAATTAAAAATATTATTAATAAAAATAAAAAATAGAAATTTTATCCATAAACTTTTAATAAATATTTGTCTCATTTTCTTTTCGTGCGTTAATCGTCAACCTACATCAAAAAAAGCCTCGCTTTCACCATTTTTTTTTTTTTTTTCAAAACTTTGCTGGTCTCCTCAGAATACAGTGTTGTATATGCGGACGGATAAGAGGACATAGAAGCTCAATGCGTGGCTCACTATATTTATAAGTGTTTTTTTTTTTTTTTTTTTTTAAATAATAGAAGCTAATTATATTTAAGCTATCTAGGTAGCCACGTTGAGCACGTACGTTTTATTATTATTATAAACAAAATTATGGGAATCCGGCTATTTTTTTCCAGAATCAAATGAAATAAAAGGATAATTGTTCTATCCATTAAAAAAGTTAAATTATATTGATCTATTCTATAGTAATGAAGGAAAAACGTTATCAGAGGAAAAGTGATATAACTTTACGGTAAAGACAGAGGAATCAAATTAGCTTTTTCTGCTTATTAAGAATCAACGTCTATTGCTTTATTTTTTAGGCAACACATATAAGGCAAGACGCTGCAAAAACAAAACAAAGAGCCACCGTAGGCTTACAATAAAAACAAAACGGTTTATATCAGGAGGTTTACAAAACACGATGAATTGCTTTAATTGGTAGCTGTTAAGTGATTTTTACATAACAGAGAATATATATATATATATATATATATATATATATATATATGTGTGTGTGTGTGTGTGTGTGTGTGTGTGTGAAAACTTACCTTTTGATGACATACATGGAGTACTTTTGTTATTGTCCTTTTTTAAGTTTTAGTACTAATGCTTGGACTTTAGTTAGGTCATGGAGTGGAAATAAACATGGCCAAATTGTCGTTCATATACCTTAATCAGACAACTTTGAGCTTCAGTTTAATTGGAAAGAGTAGACTCTTTACAGATCAGAGAAAATAATATATACATCTATCTATATAATATAGTGGCCCTTGGATTCACAAAAAGATTTTTTTTTTCTCTCTTGTACTTCGCAAAAATACAGATAATTAATATAAAATTAGCCCAACCTTCCTAAGAATATTAGATCCTGTTTAATGGTAGATCACCATGTACTTTGGGGCATTCACATAACAAAACGCCAAAATGAAATTCCAAGCGAAATTAACTTAAAAGAGGAATATAATGACATGCATTAGAAGTAGTTATAACATGTTGGTTTCACACACGAAGGCCAACCAATAATTTTATTTTCTGTTTCCATGATGATGTAAAAGTCTTCCCGGTCTTTAGGCGTACACACACACACACGCATCATAGAACAATTAATAGAAGGGAAAAGAAAAAAACAAAGGAAATCATGAAAAATACAAGTTGCTGGCTTTAAGTTATTTAGAATTTATATATTAATAAGAAAACAGAAAACATAACATATCAAATGGAGGCCCTCATAGTGAAACTTACGACTTATATATTCACTTTACGATCATGGTCAAGCTGTTGTACTGGCCTTAGTCAACGACTTGATCTTCACAGAAGAGCCAAGCAACAACCTACCAGCCTCAATCGTGAACGTGTCATAACGAAGGAAGAGCTCCACCAAGAATACCCTAGATAGCAGCACCACCAGATCCCTCGCGGGACACTGCTTGTTATCCACCGTTGGATCTTCCGTCTCTCGTCCATTTGACCAATAAACGTACTTCAACAACTTCTCTCCTTCCCCAACAAACCTGTGGCCCACAAACTCCTCAGGATTCTCAAAAACTTTCGGATCCTTCGTAGCGAACGGCTGATAACCAAAGATCATCTCTCCCTTCTTGATCTTAAAACCCGCATCATGGCTGTAGACCACCATATCCTCCTTGGCCTTGCCGTACTGGAAAGGAACAGGAGGCTCAATTCTCAGCGCTTCATAAACCACTGATTTAGTCAAACTCATTCTCTCCAACGCCCCAAAACCGATTCCACCTTCTTCCTTAACAACGGTCCTGATCTCATCAGCCAACTGATGGTGCAAACTCTCTCCTGCTGATCCGACCCACTTGATCAAACCGGGAAACCAAGCTTTCATTCCTCCATAAGCGTTGAAACCAGCTAAAAAGACCAAGTTATGGCAAGCTTCTTTTCTCTCAATCCCAAAACGCTCAGCTTCGTCCAAAACTGATCCCGCCGACGAGTAAAACTCGTCGTAAAGCTTCTTATAATCGGACTTGACTAAAAACCACGGTAGAGGAAAAACATGCAAAAGCAAATCTTCGAGGCAGTTGAGAAACTTCGACAACCCTAAGGTGATAAGTGGTGCAAGTTGGAAAAACAGCCATTTGTCGAAATGGGCCGGGCCTTTGGACCCGAGTCCGGATTCCGAGGGCTTTCTATCGAAGAAAAGCTGGAAAATAAAGTTGAAGGACATTTCGTCGTTTTGGGCATTGAAGTCGGCTGTGTTTTTCTTGCTCTTGTCATGCACTTGATCTTCTAAGTTGGTGAAGAGCTCGGACAAGGAGGCTCTGAAGAGAGGGATAAAATTGTCTTTTTTCGAGGCGAGGAGGGAGAGGAAGAATGACTTGAGCTTGGCGTGGTTGGGCTCGGAGGGATCGAGGTAAGCGCAGACGCGGTGGCCGCCGGTGTAGGCTGTGGACGGCATGAAAGTTCCGTCGAGGACGCCGCGCTTTTCGACCTTGGAGTTGTCCAAAAGGACCGCGAAACTGACGGCGTCGAGGACGGCGATGACCTTAGGGTTTGAGGCTATGAAGGGACCGGGAGGCATGTTGGTTCGGAAGACAGTGGAGTTGTATTTGTTGATTCGGGTGCGAAAAAACTCGTCTTGGCCTTGGCTGTAGAAGTAGTCGTGGCGGTCTTTGATGGCGCCGAAGAACGGCCAGCCATAGCCGCCGGGGACTGTTTTCAGTGGACGAGAGTGGTCGGAATTGGGTGAAGCCATAATAATTACTTTTTTTTTTTTTTTTTGAAGTGAGAGGGTTGAATTGAGGGGAGTTAATGTATGTGAATGTGACTCTATATTATTATATATATAGAGGAAAAATGATTGATGGTGGAGGATATAGTACTAATGATATTGTCCCTAGTGCCCAACATGTTCTTATTCTAATATAATCCTTTCAATAATTGAAGGAGGTTAAATTATTATACATATTCTTGTTTTAAATGAGTTGTGCTTTAAATTAGGTAGTATATTGGTGATGATAATAGATGTCCCTACCGCCTAACATGTTCTTAATTTACTAATTTTTATTGAAGGGGGATAAACTTACATATGGTCGTTTCACATGAATTGTTTTAAGTTAGGTAATCATCATATATTAGTATAACGATGATGATCATAGATGTATAATTACGTTCTAATGTGGACAAAGAAGAATAGTAAACTTGCGTTTTGAGCCATTTGATATTGAGATAGTTATATGAGGTAGTATTTAAATGCTTATATGATATTGATAAAGTTGGAACTACTAGCAAAGTAGTGTGTATAATTTTAGAAAGACAAATTTGTGAAGTGCAGAACCATTATTTGAATTTATGGAACTAATTATGAAGAAAAAAGATTAATGTATACTCTGGAGGATAACGCGGACGACGATAAAGGATGAGGTGGCATTAACTAAGAAAAATGACCTATTATAGAAAGTAAATATTCCATATTATAACTTGTTCACATGGAATACATTTTTTTATATTATTAGTTAAAACTTAGGGAGCATCAGTACTACATTTTGATAAAATTCATAGAATAGTTTTTAGATATTTTCAATTTCTCGAAGGTTCAATTAAAAATTACCATCACCAATAATTCTATCTATTTCAAAAGGAACTCCAATCTCTCCTTCGTACTTATGTTAGAAAAGTACGCGAGCCCACATATCTGATCGTTAATTTAATTTGACGATTTCTCTTTGTATATATGCGCTGGAAGAAGACGCCCATGCTTAATTTAATGATTATCCATAGACGTGAATTGAAGTTTGTAGAAACCACACCTAGTAATTAGTGAAGTTTGTAGCAATCACATGACCTAATAATTGGTGATGTTATTTAAGCGCAAATTACCCGATTACATACAATTCATCGCAAATTACTTTTTCTTAAAGGAAAATTGTAATGAAAAAGAGAGTGATACAAACACTAATACCTATGCAAATGATTCTAAAATACACAAAAAGAAAACTCAACTTCAAGTATTAACTGGTACTATTAATAAATTTGAATGAAACGCTCAAAGAATTAAAGCGCATGTTAAGTCCTAAGATGGAAAAATTAAACAAGCAATACCCAATTATCGAGCACATAAATAACTCTTTTAATAAAACCACTATAATTGACGAAAAAGCTCGATTGATCGAGATCAAAAGGGACCTATATATACCTTTAGCGGTTCACTATTGTTGTCCCAAATAAAAAGTGGATGAAGATGTGAAATAGTTTATATACATGGAAAGACCCAATACCTAATATATAGGTTAACTTTTTGGGTCAAGTTGGGCTCATGAAGTGTGTTGGGCCAGTTACACGGGTCAAGCGATCACACTCAGTTGCAGTTGGAAGTGTGGATAGTGGAGCATTTGGCTCCCGTTGGGAGTGTGATGCTTGGATGTGTCAGTTACTTGAAACTTTGGTTGAAGGGAGAGCTCGGTGAGCATACACATGAGGGAGAGATTGTTAAGAAAAGTGTATGTGTGTGTTGTCCCACATAGAATGTGAGTGAAGATGTGAAATAGTTTATATATGAAAGGATTTAAGACCTAATAGGTTAACTTTTTGAGTAAAATTAGACTCTTAAAATATATTGGGTTAATTTTGCATGTGGTATTTTCTCAACAAGTATGACACGTTTCAAGGAGGATTTGCAAGCCTTAATATATACCGTCTCTCTCTCGATAAATTTTTTTCATTGATTTTGACTGCCACAAAATTCCTCCATTTGTCGTTAATCCGTTGGAGATTGCATTGACATCTATATTTGATTAGATGAATGACAAAAGCATGTACAATCTCACCTTGTATTTTGTATCTCATAGTGCAGAATATTAATTAGGATCCATTACAATCTTTATACGTATTGGAGGCTGAGGAACACTAATCCGGCAGTGACATTAATGTTGAAATAACCGAGACAGACTGTTAGATATATAAAAGGACAGACTCCGAAGAAACACGTGGTCAACACACCCTGCAATTTTCATATGAGCCCATGCGTGAGAGGAAGGCGATCACGGTAGCATAAAGTTTTTCTTTTTCTTTTTCTGCAATAATAAATATCAAATCTAACTCATAAGATAAGATAGGTAGAAAAAAGGCCATGTGAAAAATGATCCTTTTCTAAACTGGCTTGCTACTTGTTGACGATTGGATTTCGTCAACAATAAACTCGCCGGAATACCTTGGGGTTCCCCTTTAGATTACCGACTTGTGGGTTTAATGAAAGTGTGGATTCAGGTTAAATTTAAGTATTTTTATGTTTGAATGAACTGTATGTAAATGAACAAGAAGAATTTTATAGTGGTTCACTCTATGAAATTAGAGCTACATCCACTGTATATACTATATTTCTTTTTGTGGAAATATGAGTTTACAATGAATACTATTTCTCTTTCTCTCTCTCACGTTTTTTTTTCCTTTTGAATTTTCCGGACCCCTTTCCTATTGGGGTCCTTCTTCTTTTATATTCGGGCTTCCTTCACTGGGTGGGTTTTCTTCGTAGGTAGGAACACTCAAGTGCTCTCCCTCTCTAGGCCCAGACATAGCCCACTAATTAGTACTGTTCACTCAACCAATTAGTCTTCTATTACGGCTCTGTAACTCTCCGTAATGCTTTTCTGTCCCCTGGGGGGGCGGTTTGTAAAATTGCAATTAATGCTGTCAGACTTCCCTTATCTTTGCATGTAACCTATCATGTCGAAAAGGGACAGGGATCTTGTCGTGTCGACCCAGGCGAAATCAACCGTCGACGCCTCACGGGGTCGTCGCCCTAATTATGGACTTCATCTTCGGGTTCTATAGCTGATCTTGAGGGAAACGAAGCGTCGAGGGTTGGGTGCTCGGCGGAAAGTAAGTATAGCCACGTGTCGTGGCGTCGTTGGTCCAGGTGTCCATCACATTTTCCCACACAACAGCCACCCCCCAGGTCGAGGGCTCCTTTTTTAGGCGGCCTCGAGCTCTAGGTTCGGTTTGTCCTTTCCGTGCTTCGGGTGTGGGAAATCGGTCCTGAACCTCCGTCCGCAATGATGGCCTGGGTGCTTTGGGTGCATAACCGTCCCGTCGATTGATTTGGCATAATGATGAGTATCCGTGTTTCAAGGAAACGAATATGTGCCGTCGGATCCGCGTCTTTTCAATTTTTTGCCCTTTCTCTTACCGTCAGATACAGAGAGTGATCCCTGGCCGTTGGTCTTTTGGGGTCTTCATCCGACGATTGGGGGCCTTCATTCCTGACTCTTTAAATACTCTCCATGGACCCGAGGATCATTTTTTTCCTTCTTCGAAACTTCAAAAAACTTTTTGCCGCTGCTTTGCCGGGACATCCGTACTTTTACCGAAACCCTGCTTGCTGAACTTCCGCCTTCGTCCTTCCCGTTCTCTGAGGTGTACTACGAAACCGTCCCGAGTTTACTTCTTCACCGGTAAGTTCCTGGATCATTCCTTTCTTTGTGTACTCACGGGGTTTCCCCCGTTGAGTACCAGGAATATGTAAACATATATGCAGAAAACGAGAATAAACATTTAGTTAAAGAGACTTTACTTTGTTGTATTCTGTCGTATTGGATGACCTGGTTTTTATATGCGCGCAGTTTTTGTCTGTTTGTCTTTGGTTTCTGGGTTCTGGGGAACCCGCGGTTCCTATGAACACTCGTCGTTACCATTCTTGTATGAATGGTCGACGTTAACCAGTCGTCGTTTAGAGTAGTCGCCGTTTATCCCTCTCGACGTTAGGGTTTTAACTTAGCTTTTTGTCCTTGTTTTTACCAGAACAATGGCCCAAAGTTCACCCAGTCGAGAGGATTCTCTTTCTGTCGTCCGTTCTGACCCTCCTTCGGTGGTAGAGATCTCATGGACCTCTTCGTCTTCCGGTGTCAGCTCTGTGCTTAGGGATATCGAGGATGTCGAGGGAAGTTTTGAGCCGGGCGACGATCTCGGCAGTGAATTCGGTAGCGTCGACCGACTGATAGACGAAGTGGTCGAGCGGATCCCTTTCACGGGGGGGAGCGTAAGCGGAGTAACCGCTGCGACGGTGGATGCCCCCCTGGCTTCCACGAGCGGAGACCCAGATAGGTGCTGGTTTCCGAATCAAATTCGGGTGCGGAAGCGTGGGGATGAAAACAACGGATCGTGTATAACAAAAATTTTCATAAAACTTTTGAGATACTCTATAGATTATATTAATTTATGCACGAATAAATTAATCATATTAATTTACATGATTCAAGGATCAACCGAAAAAATACCTGGTCGACCGGTTGACACGAGGTTTGACCCTGTTTGGCCTGAAAATGTTGTTTTGACCCCTGTTTTCGGGAAGAACCCACCAAAGTCTTCCACGTCAATTCTTTGATTCCACGTAGACGTGTGTGTGGGCACACGTAAGACAAAACAGGTTTCTTAAACACTCGAGTTTTCACAAACACCAACGCATGCACGATGTGGAATTTTTGGAGAAAAATATTTTGCTCTCTTTTCCTCTATGAGAATTTCGGCCACACTAAAAAAAAAACTAGGGCTGAAAAATTGTTTTTTTTTTAAATTGTCTCTACAATTTTCTATCTTTATCATATTTTAAAGAGAAGAAGTCAAACTTCAAAATAGAATCAAATCCTTATCTCCAATTTTGAATTTTTGAACAAAAAATCCCTTCCCCTTATCCTTTAAGTGGCCGGCCATCTCTAGGGTTTTATCCCTGTGGTGTGGCGCCAATCTCAGATAGGGAAGGAAGAGATTTTATCCTTTATCCAGTAGTCCAATTTTAATTCAGATTCAAATTCGAATTTAAGT